CTAATTGCACATTTTGAATGAATTATATTCTGGTATGCAGTAGCTGTACTCTGGCAGTTTTGGTATACTTTCTTATGCATCCATGTACCATGGGAACAATAGATTATTCATGCATGTCATTTTAAAACCTCAGTTAAAGTTAGTTTTGTAATTCATATTGTATTTTAAATTTTGAGCATTGCATCAAAATTAAGGAACTATACCTTATGTGGTTGCCTTTTTGCCATCTAGTGAGGGAAGAAAGTTACAAAGATAATACTGTAGTTTTTGGTAAATTTAATCTGCCAGTAGATTTTAAAAAATTCACCTGATGAACTGGTGATGTCTTTTCGTTCAGAAACAGCTTTTTGTTGATACCAGAGACATGATGGCTATTAAAATAATGTATTTGCAATACTGTCTCATATTTGATTACATAACCACTGTTCTTTAAGTGTTAGAAACGTTAAACATTCCCATTAACAAAAAACTGAAACATAAGGTTAAATGTATTGAGTCAACTTAATTGTTTTATTTTTTGTAAATAGTTATGACATTTTTTACAAAAATGTATTCGTCTTTACATTTCTTCTTATCATTTCCGTCTACATACATACATGTATTCTGTGCAGTTTTAAATTTAATCCTAATGCAGTGTTATATGGCAATGATCCTGCATGTGAGAGAGCCCCTAATAGGCTTTCATTTATATACAGTACAGGGCGAAAAAAGATAAGTAGCTACTCTACTGTTGCGTAGGTACAGTTTAGAGAGAAAAAAAACTAAGTAGCGCAGAGTTGTTCCTACGAACTGCACTTTTCTTCCTACACAGCTCATGCGAATCAAAACGGTAGTAGTAACGAGCAGCTTTGCTTTCTTTACTCCTGTGCTACTCTACTCTACTGATGTGCTGCGCATGCGCATTAATTTTCACCAGCCCGGTTACGACTCAGTGGAAACGAGTAGAAATGAGTCTTAGAAAGCTGATAAAAGATACCCAGAAGACAAATCGTAAGTTAAAGACATGTTTAGGAGTCTTGTTATTATTTTAAATGTAGCTTCTTACTTTTTGAAATACTTTAAGCAAGACGATACTTATTCTATTGTGAAAGCAAACTGTGTAGAAGTTGAGCAGCTGGAAGCTGGTACCTCCTGCAGAGTAAGGGATGGAAAGGACTTTCATGATGGCACAATAGTCACCTTTGGTAACACTGTACTTTAATTTTTAGTCAATAGCTGCACATATAATTTTCTAGGAGATAAGAAAGATGTAAGTAATGCAGCAGGTGATATTATTGAGAAGATTGAGAAAGAGTCAGCGGAGAATTTGGAGAAAGAGTCAGCCAAGAATATGGAGAAACAGTCAGCTGAGAGTATGAAGAATGAGTCAGACTACAAAGCGTGGCACAATAAAAAGGAAAGCTAAGAAAAGTGAGATGGTATATAGTATTACTAACCCTACATGTAAATTCACATCTACATGTAGGTACCACCGAATAAAGAAACCTAAAATAGAAAAAGGAAAGGAAGGTGAAGGTACATAATGCATTAAAAAGGTAATTTATTATAAAAACACAAAACAGAAATGCACAGTTAATATTGTTGCTGTTGGTTGTGCTACAAATAATGAATCTGC